TAGGGCACTGGAGAGTTCTCTTTCCTACTTGCTGATTTGGAGCTGGAAGTGAATGCCTGTTAGAGGAGGATCAGCTTGATTTATTGAGTCCCATTTCTGTCTGCTTTGACCTACTTGCTGAACCAGGTGATGGAGAGGAAAGATGAAGCAAATCAGGGTTGGTTTGCCCTGATGAAGATAGTCTATTTGGGAGAAACAGGTTTTCATCTAAGAATCATATCCAAATGTTACCGCTGGCAGCGCCAGTAACGTGGGACATGAGGAAGGGTCCCAGGGATTGAAGGCACCGACTTGAGAGCAGTGATGGTGGAAGTCTCTCTCCGAAGCCTCTCAGAGGCTTCCCTTTATTGCCTTCTCTTTTGATCTTTCACCTACTTCTTGTTTACGCTTTACCCCACACCCTCATTAGCGCAGACTGGCTACAGCTGAGACCAGGTGCTTCTAGCCCCAAGCCCACCGCCTGTAGTGCTCGGCTTAAGGAGTGCTAGTCAACTCCTTAGCCCACAACATCCAAACTTAAAGGAGCAAGTGCGGCCACTGCCTTGAGGACCAAGCCGCTCTGTTAGGGAAATGTAACGTCGTCATGGGGACAGGGAGCAACAGTTGTGTAGAGGTTGAAGGCAGGGCAGGAATAAAGACAAGGAAAGGACTAGTCAGGCAGAGGGAGCTGCTTGTGCAAAGGCCCAGTGGAGAGAGGGGGAGGAAGAACAGCAGGAGCCGAGAGGCCGCAAAAGGAGCTGTACCACTATCCGTGCTGCTTCTAGCCACTTCACCTGCCTGGATGCCAGACCCGCAGGCCAGTCTGAAGACTCGCTGCCTACCCTGGAGTCCACCCACCTGTATCTTGCAGGCATTACTCACAATGAATCTCTTGCCTCTTTAGCTTTCAATGCCCAGCATCTCAGAACCGATGATGTGGTTGTGCAACCATATTTCACCTTCACTCGTATTTCACTTGCCAGCAGCTCATCATGCCAGTCTGTACAGGAAGGCATTCAGATCCAAGGGAGACCCCCATCGTGGGGTACGCTTGTCATTTCCATCACAGCTCATGAAGAAGCAGCCAGGAATCACAGCACAGTGCAGGTGCTTTCTTCTGCACCTGCTGTCTGTGGCCCAAGGGTAAGTCTTCTAACTTCCCAGAGTCAGTCATCACCATCCTTGTGTCCTCCGCAGGAGAGCTGTGTGACAGAAGAACATGCCACCCATTCCTGGCTGATGAAACGGACCAGCAAGTGCGGGGATGGACACAGGTGGGGAAAAAGGTCCTGTGTTGGTTGTGGGTGTCGTGGGGGTGTGGATTAGGTACCCTGAGCTAAGGTGGCTGATTTTGCCGTAAGTCTAGAGGGCAAAAAAGAAAGCAGTGAAAATGAAATCCCAGCTACCTGTGGGAAGCCTCTATGGGAAGGAAACATGAGGAAACTCAGGCTTAGTGCCATGTTCTGCCTTTTGTCTTCTTTTTCCCATCAGCCCCTTCTTGTCTCCCATCACCCCTCTCTCCTCTCACCTTCACACCTAATGGTTCTTGTTTGAAGATGGAAGACAGCAGCTCGGTGCTATGACTGAAGCAGCTGAAGCCGGGAAGGAACTGGACCGGCCAGGAAACGAGGCATGCTTCACTGATTGTCTTTTGACTCATTATTATTTTTAATCCAACTGCAAGGAAACTGACTATAAAATGAAATAAAATAAATTCTTAAAAAAAAAAAAGGAAGAAAGGAAAGGGATGCTACACTTTCTCCCTCACATTTGGGAGCGAGCTAACATTTCCTGGTTGCTTCCTAGAGACTTGGCATTCTACTAAAACTTTTTACTAAAACATTGCCTTGCCAGACGGCCTCCTGATAAAGTTTTCATTCATTACCAAGTAACATCACAGCCAGTGTGACCTGACTGACCCCTCTGAGTGCCTGTCCATCCCAGGCCCAGCCTTGCCACTCTGGCCCTTTTTTTTTTTTTTTTTTTTTTGTGGTGGGGGAACTTGTTCTAAGTCCTCCTGACCAGGGTTCTTCTTGCCCTTGCCATGGCCAGGCCTTTGCAAGGAACGCCTCCCCCGGAATCTTCACATGGCTTGATTTTTTTCTCATGGAGAACAGTTCAACTGAGACCCTCAGAGAGGCCTTCCTCGCTCATCGTGCCTCAGAGCAGGGCTACTCCCTGGCCCTCGCCTCCTGCTGCAGGGCCCGGCTTTATTTATTCTTTCCTTCTTCCCATTGCCCTTAGAGTATCTGAAGTGATCTCATTTTGTTTGATTTTGATCTGATTCCTCCCTCTGGGTTTTTCCTCTCTGCCTTGTTCCCTCCTGGCTGGAAACACTGAGAGGCGTGGCTGGCACAGAGGAGAGGCTCCGAAGTGTGTCCTGAGAACAGGTGGATTTTAGGAGCGGGTTGTTTAGCAGGGGCAGTAGCTGCAGGCCTGACACAAGGAGCACAGCGCTGCGTGCAGCAGCTGCGTCTTGTCTTGCTCGCTGCAGTGGAGGAGAACACACCACAGAGAACCAAATGCTAGCTCCTTAAGGTGTTAGCAGATAACTCATGGATGTAAATCCCTGTTAGGTGATTTTGGTTAGGATTTTAGGAAATGAGACTTTTTAATTTTTATTTACTTTTATTTTTTACTGGGTTAGATATTGTCAGGAAGCACAAACAATCCCATTTTACCTTTTTAACATGACTTTTATTTATTCGAAAGGCAGTTATAAAGAAAGCAGTAGGGACAGACGCACACACATACAATCATCTATCCTCAGGCTCATTGTCATTCCTCAAATGGCCACAGTGACCTCTGCAAGGCCAGGCGAAAGCCAGGAGGCAGGAACTCCATCTTGGACCCTCACGTGGATGGCAAGAGCCCAAGTGCTTGGGTATCTTCCATGGCCTCCCTAGATGGCCCAGCAGCCAGGACTCAAGCAGGCACCGTGATCTGAGATGCTAGCGTCACAGGCAGCAGCTGATCCACCTGCAGCACAAAACGGTCCCTCAGTGGGTATTGTTGATAAGTCTCATCTACAGGGTGGGAACTGGAACTGATACTAAGCCAAGAAACCAACTGAACTGTACTAGCAGGACGGGCCAGGTGTGGCGTTTTTGTGGTCTACACAGTGAGGGGCCTATATTTTGATCAAGACTTAGACACGACCACTGAGTACTCTGGTTCTTCTTGTCAGATACACGCTAGCCTAGTGTGGTGCTGGGTCCTGTGTAGCCGTGTTCCACGTGCTGAGTCTGGATGTTGTGCGATGTTTTCCTCTTCCATATGTCCTGTAGTTATCAAGTCCTGCATCAAGTGGCACAGAAACAAGCACAAATATGGTTTTTTTTTTATTATTTATTTGTAAGGCAGAGTGTCAGAGCAGAAGGGACACACACACACACACAATCTTCCATCTGTTGATTCGTTTTCCAAATGCCTGTAACAACTAGGGCTGCAAACGGCCAAAGTCAGGAGCCCCAACTCGATCTAGGTCTCCCCTGTGAGTGGCAGGGACCCCGGGAAGGGAATTAGCAGGAAGACGGAGGGCAAGCATGGGTGAGCATGCTGATACGGAATGCGAGCCTCTCAAGTGCTGAGTTTTACCTGCTCCAGCACAATGTCTGACCAAACACTCTTTCTTTTGGCTGACTGACAGCCTCTCTTTCTTCTAATCCTGGATTTGTACTGGAGGCCAAGGTAAAGAAACAGTGCTTCCAGAAAGTCAACTGAAAAATGCCCTGCTATCCAAGAAATAATTATCTCCTCTGCACATGGCCAGGTAAATTTTTTTTTTAATAAAGGATGGTATCTGTTTTGCACTATCTGGTCCTCACACTCTCCTCAAACATCATGTGCCTCCAGCACTTTGGTTCTGGTTCAAGTTTTTTGGTCTGCAGGCGTGATTCGGAGCCAGTATGCCAGCAGGGCCTGGACTACCATCACACCCTGGATTTCTGTGTTAACATCCTTGTTATACCATAATTAATTTGTTTATAATGCATCTGCCTCGTGAGACTGTCTCCCACATGTTTGTATTCCCGGAACTTAACTAAAAATTTGGCACAGGCTAGGATGTCTGTAAATATTAAGTGAATTTGCAATGGGGCTTTAATTTCTGGCTCGAATTTACCTCCGTTTTGCGAGCCAGGAGGAGACTTATCTTTCAGGAATCTGCATTCATCACTGACAGACTTGGGGGAAAGAATATTATTAGCCTTTGCTGCGGAGCAGGCATCGCAACAGGTGCACTTCGTGTGGCTGGGATGTTGCTATGAAAAGGTCCACACACACGTTAGGTAACTTCCCTGAGGTCACAGCTTGACTGATAAACTGTCCAGCTCTGAGGCTCAGCGCTCACAGGTCTGCAGCGAAATCTGGGCAGAGGTTCTCGATCCTAGTTTTGACTAATCGCACCTTTTTTTTTTTTTAAGCGGAGTTGGTTCATTTGACCAATCCTGGGGAGTAACAGTTTCTTGGTAGGCCACGTGCATGGGGAAACAACTGCATCCGCTTTATGATAAAGGAAAAGGATTTTGGCTTCAGACCTCAATGGAACACTCTTCAATCACGCTAGCCAGAGCGCCCCTCCCTCCTCACTCACTTCCTCTCCTCCTCAGGTCGCTGGGCAGTGGGGGGAAGTGAGGAAAGAAAAGAAGAGCAGCAGAGGATGTGGCGCGCGGGTTGGGGGGAGTTAGGGTGGGTGGGGGGTAGATCAGGTGAGCAGCCTCCTCCCCGCCCCCGCCTGCCACGCCCTTAGCCTCGCCCTCTCCCCCAAACCCACTTTAAACTCCCGCCCCCTCTGAACAGCGCCCAATGCCCGGACGAGCAGCGCGCAGCGGGCTGTGGATTGGCCGGCGCCGCGGTTGCCGAGGTGACGGGTGGGTCCCGCGGGGTCCCCGAGTGGGGCGGGGTCGGGGGGTGCCGGGAGGTTTCCGCTCGGCTCGCCGCACCCCGTCCCGCGCCCTCCCCACCCCCACCCGGCCCGGCGCGCACCGCCCCCCTCTCCCCCGTCTCCGGCCTCCGGCTCCCGGCGCGCCGCCCTGCGTCTCCGTCTCCGCCCCCAGAACCTGCAGCCGTGAGCTCCGGAGCGCGGCTTCCCGGGCTGGCGGCGCGGCGCTATGGGCTGCGGGAACTCCACCGCCACCAGCTCTGGCGCGGGCGCGGGCCGAGGTGAGCGCCTGGAGCGGGGTGGGGGTTCTGCGGGACTGGCCGGCGGAGAGACGGCGGGACGGAAGATGCGGGACCTGGGCGGGGAGGGCGCGTGCCCCCTTTTTCCGTGCCACCGCGTTTCCCGGACAGGGGCAGATCGGAGACCGAAACCTGGCAGGTTCTTTGCGCGGGGGCGGGAGCACGGTCGGTCTGCGGGGTCCCTGCAGCTGGAGGGGATAAGATCCCAGACGCCACAACTCATGTCCCCTACCCTTCACCCCCCCTTTCCGCCCCGACCACTCCCTCCCTTCCCACCTCGCTCTCCCGGACTTCAATCCCCCAGCCCTGCACCCGCAGCATCCCCCGCTGCACCTGGAAAAGTGCAGTGGAGCAAGTCAGGACTTTGGTGGGGGCGGTGGCGGGGCTGAGAACTGCAGCCTGGGCTCCGGGAACGCATCGGTGCCTGTGTTGACGCTTCAGACCCGCCCCGGGCTGGGCTGCTCCGGGTTTCCTCTAAGAAGCTGCAGTCTGTCTGCTGAGATGGATCTGTGTGGCGCTGGATGGAGAGCGGTTCTGGCAAGATGCTCCCCCCATGTAAATACGTATCGAAACTTCCCTCTCTAACATTGCCTTTTGTTGATGGGCAGGTCTCCGATACCAGCTTGGCTTTGGGAACAGTGACCCCTCCAAACTCAACCTCCATTAACCCAGCTGCTATCTCCTCCCACCGCCCCCCACCCCATTTCAGATAGTGTCATCAAGGGGCCCATTTAAGTGTCTTTGGCTGAACAGCTCCTGTTGGTGGAAATCAGCTGGCCCCACCAGCAAATGCACAAAGCAGGCTGGTGCCGCGGTGGTTCCCAGGCAGCCGTGGATGCTCCCTCCAGGTCCTGGTGACCTTGGGCCTGTCACTTGCTAGAAGTGGGCAGAAGGCGCCATTTAGAACTCCAGCCTCTTGTGTTCATGTGAAAGCTGATTTTGATGTTGAATACTAACGGGCTGGGGGTGGGAGAGTTGGGGAGGGGGCAAGTTTGTCCTCTGTCAGTGACCACATATGCTATTCTGTTTTAGAAGAAGGGGCTCAAACCCCCGATGCTGTGGACACACCCAAGAAGTGCTTCACAGGAAAGTTTGTCCTGTCAACTTTTTACCAGGTTGCGTGAAATTCTGCCCTTGTGCCAGAGTGGAGGCCTGCTGGGGAATGAATCTTTGTAGATGCACTCCACAGAAGGGCCTGGAGTGTGAGCGTTGTGCCTTCCGCAGTGGGGTGTGGGCAGGGACAGGATATAAATCTCCCTGAGGCCAGCAGCTCCGCATGGAAACCTGGAACAGTGTCAGAGGCACACCCTCCCCTGAGAATTTTTGTCAGTGCACTGAGCACTGTGGCCACGGCCCTGCATGTGCCACAGCCCCACCATGTGTGCACCCTATCTGTGGAAGGTCAAGGATAGTGACCCACAGGAAAACAATACAAACATTGGCAGAATCGTCGCATGTTTTCTCACAAGTCGACCTCATTTGTGCATTTAAGTTTTTGTCCGTTGAGATTTGGGTCACTGGCAAGTAAAAATCTGAATGAGGGGAAGGCAGAATAAGGGAGCCCCGATGTGCTTGCAGGGGTCAGATTTCTTGGGAAAATGAGCTTCTTCTGACTGATCTTTGCCTTATTTCTGTAAAGGGAGGTTATGTTAGCAGGAGTGCAACCGCGTGGCACGCGGCCCCTGCTGTAGTTCCTGAGGGGCCACGTGTGTGTGTGTGCGCGCGTGTGTGTGTGTGTGTGTGTGTGTAGAGCACGCCGTTCTCTCCTCTGGCTCTGTGCTAAAAATGACTTGACGTTCAGAGAAGTGTGAGATAGCAAATGGAGTATAGACTACGGAAGAGGCTGGAGAAAAATTCCAAGTGGGGAGTCGTGGCGTTGTTGGGTGGCTGGATGTGCCCTGGTCTTTGCAATGTTGTCTTCCAACATGGTCTGGCTTGCAGTCCAGCTGGCTGGCTTTGGGATTGGGTTGTTATTGTTTTGCTATTTTCTGTCAGCTGGCGGTAGGAATTTAGTTTGAGAACGGGAATGCATCAAGCTGGGGAGATAGAAGGTTAAGAGAAATAAACCGCAGGGTGGCGGGACTAAAGTCTTGTTTTCACCTGCAAACTTTGAGCTCTGCATTCGGTAAGCTGTTGACCAGGTTTGTAAGCTTGTCCTGAGGCCGAGCAATGTGGAAACTGTTTAAAAAATACCATCAGTGTGATTCCAGTGCTCCCAGCACTAATGTACAATTTCTGAAATGCTGCAGGAGTCATACCATTCAATAGCTATATTCAATTTTCCAGGCAAAACAAAACAACATATATGTATGTGTGTGTGTGTGTATGATATATATATACCAAGAGAAATAAAAAGGTAGAGTGGTAAGTGGCAGAGAGGTGCTGACTGTGCCACCCTGAGAGAGAAGCTTGCACTTGGCTTTGGTGCTGTGCCCTTTGTGCGACTGTGGGCACTGCATTTTGCTCTTCTTGCTTTGGTTCCTTCATCCACAGAATGGGGATCACTGGATGTACCCTGCGTTAGGACCTGTGTGAAACTCAAAAATTAGATTGTGCAGAAAAGCACTCTGAACTGTAATTACCACAGACATTAAAGCCTTGCGGAAGCGCCTTCCCCCAGATGGTTTTCCACGAGGAAAGAGCACAGCTACTTTCAGGCATTATTATAATGTCCTCAAACTTGCAACCTCCATTCCAATGCTTATTTCTTTTGCTACGTAACTCTGGGAAACCCAGATCTCTCTGGATGACATCGCTATTCCTTATGGCCAGCTGTAAGATGAGTAACTTGGTAACTCAAGATCTGTCCCTTCTCGCAATTTCTTTCCCAGAGCCATTAGCAGCAGGAAGTTAGATCAGAAGTAGAGCAGCCAGGACTCGAACCTGCACCTGTATGGGATGCTGACATTGTAGGTAGTGGCTTAACGCACTATGCCTCAATGCCAGCCTCTTCCTGGATTTCTGACTGCAGGCCTCCATATGGCCCACTCCACGTGCAGAGCCCGCTACTGGAACTTTTGAGGGTGATACTGGGGGTGAATGAGTGGCTGCAGAAGGAAACTCAGTTTTTTTTGCTCTGGAGAGGCTGGTAGTCTCCGTGGGAGGATTTGAGAATGATTGTGAAGCAGTGTGTAATCACAAGTGCCCAGGAAACGTGGGTGTTGCACCTTAATCAGAGAAGGCTTCATGGAGGAGTTGAGCTGCCAGCTTGAGTGGGATTGTTAGAATCCTTCTGAAGACAGAGGGCTCTCCATTTTCATGTTTTTCTTTAAAAAAGAAATTTTATTTATTTGAAAGGTGCAGTAAGAGGGAAACTATACACACGTGTGTATATATGTATGTATGTGTGCATATATATATAGAGAGAGAGAGAGAGAGAAGAGAGAGAGAGAGCTCTTGCATTGCTGGTTCACTTCCTAAAGGCTGCAGTGGTCAGGACTGGGCCAGGCCAAAGCCAGGAACCTAAAACTCCATCATGGTCTGCCAAAAGGGTGGCAGGGTCTGAGTGTCTGGGCTGGCTTCCACTGCTCTCCCAGGTGCATGAGCAGGGCGTTGGGTTGGAAGCTGAGCAGCCAAGGCACCCTGATGTGTGGCATCGCAAAGCAGCACATATGCTCATGGTGCTGCCCTACTGGCTCCTGCACTGTAGCGTTGTGATACCAGACCACTCTCTCAATAAGGAACTTCGATTTTCCCAATCTAAAAACAAAATAGGAGGGCTTCTGTGTTTTCCTTTTTGTCGGGATTCGGCTTAGACTTAGACTTAGGCTTCGGATTAGACTTCCTCCACAGTCTAGAGTCTTAAACGCTAAAGGATGGGGGAAATGTCCAGAGTTAAATGACCCACGTTCAAGTGTCACATCTATTGGAAGGCCTCCCCTTCGCTCCTGTTGGAGAGCTGAGTAAGCCAGGGTGTTGAGCTGCTGACCGCAAAGCTCAATCACTCCTTTTATTGCAGTGTCTGTTAAGACTTTGTAACCTAAACCAGAAAGTCGCTTGAGCATTGGGATGGCCCCAGATCACTACTGTCCTCTTTCAGTGCGGGCTGAGGTTGCAGACATTGTTTGCAGTGGCAGAGTCATTTCACAAGCGGTTTCAGCTCAGGATAGTTGCAGTTTTTCTGCTTGAGAATGGGCAACTGTCTGACCATTATTTTATTTATTTATTTTTTTAATTGAGAGGCAGAGAGTAAAGACAGAGACAGAAAGATCTTGTGTCTGTTGGCAACCCCAAGCCTGCGACAGCTGGGGTTGGGGCAGAGAGCCAGGGATGCGATCCGGATCTCTGGTTGGTGGTGACAGGGACTCACTTGAGCCATCATCTGCTGCCTTCCAGGGTGTGTGTTAGCAGGAAGTTGGAGCCTGGAGTGGAGACAGAATCCAAGCCCAGATGCTGCCGTGTGAGAACAGGTGTCCCGTGTTATGTCTGCAGAGCTAGGCCAAATGTCTGGCTGCCAGCGTCAGCCTGGCTCACACCTTGCTGCTGTGGCCTTTTGAGGAGTGAACCACCTATTGATGCTCTCTGATCTCTTTCTGTCTTTCAAATAAGTACATACATCCATCTCATTTTTTTCCTTTTTGTTTTTTTTTTTTTTTTAAAGAATGTCTCTCTAATGGTTCTGCTATTTATATCGTAGTCTGAGAAGGAGGTGCTTTATAATGACTTATTGTGTTTTATCCAGTGTCCCTGGGGGAATGAATGAATGCAATCCTCTTGGGTTCAATTATTTAGATCAGTTATCTCCTTGTCCTCAATTAGCTGGATAATTGCATTCTGTATTGGTGTTAGCTCTGTGGGTATGCGCTTAAATTTACATCATCCTAAGGTTGGGTAGTACTGAAACGGTGTGACCATGCTTAATTGTAGTTCACCTTGTGGGGAAAGTCGTAGAACACTTTGTTAGTATCACAGATGTCTTGCCCTGCTGCCCCTCCTTGCAGCTAAGAATGGTGGTGTCCCTGTCATGCCCTCCATTCCTTAAA